TGATCCGTGCGAACCGAACAACCGAAAATCTCAAAAAACGAAAATTTACGAAAGGGGGACCTTGTAAAATGCCCCAAAAGTGGGTCAAATTTTAAAATTTAATCAATTTCATACATATATTCTGAAAGCTCTCATTTTTCTGGAAATTTTGACACCAAGATCATCTTTCTACGACAAACCGTTGAGAAGTTATGCTAATTTAAAGGTTTTGACTTTGACCCCCTCTCCCCCCTTTTCCCTGGGGGTTACGCAAAAAATATGACCAGTTTTGAGTGTCTGAGAAGACCCTCTATCATCCCTGAGAAAATCGTACGATTCCGTGTTTAGGCCGATTTGGCCGTTTTGTTGTAGGGTCCTTTTCAGGAATTGAAAGTTTCACGTATTTGCAGTAACTAATTTTTGAGTCACAATTGTTTTTGATCCACAATTTGTAATAAGGGTGTATTTTTTCTGACTCATTCATAAACGCAGCTACCTGTGATAGGAAACTAATGGTAAATAATTTCTTTAGCTATAAGTAATAGTCCCTAATTGAATTTGTTTTCTTCTTTTCTCTTTTTTGTGTGTGCGTCGCACTGGGTGGTTTTAAAATTTCCGAGGAAACACCTATATCCGTAGAAACATCTTACCTAACAACAAAACTGCACCAGAAAAATTTGGAGGAAAGGAAGAGCTTAGTGAAACTGCAGTCCAATTAATTCGTTAATATATTGGCCTATTTTATCTGACAGGATCATTATTTTGACCGATGTGTTAAAAATCCTTCATTCTGCTTCTCCTTCTATCACGTGCCTCCATTCTATCCTTGTTGATCGACACTGCGAAAAAAAGAAAATGCGATCCTAATTATTGCTCGTAAAAGTTTTTCTTGGGGTGATCAAAAAACCATAGTTTCAGGGCGTCAATCGCACACTTTTCCCCAATATGAAAAGCGCTTTAAAGAGAGCTTTGGGGGAAAACCACCGCATTACGCCATTCCCACGTCCGCCATGATGACACTATCGCGGGGATTACAGGGCGCGAATCGCACATCGCGACATCTCCCGGGGCTTTTAATTGGCGCGCTCCCTTTCGAAAAAGTGGGAAGAAAAAGTGAGAGGAAAAGAAGGAGGGGGAGAAATTATAATAATGTCCATGGAATGTGGGTGGAGAGTGTATGTTCCATACACTCTCGACGGGGTAAAAGGAGAGAGAGCGGGTCCCGTCGATGTATTTCTCCATAAAGCAACGGATGTGGGGAAGGGGTGCAGCAGCGGTAGGTGGGGTTGTTCGATGCATTTGCTCGCAATTCGATTTTTATCGAATTTAACTCGATTTAACTCGAGGTGTTAAGCTCGCAATGATTTCTCGCTCCGCTTTGATGGTGTTCCGATTAAAACAAAACCTGCTCTGTTTGCTTCGTGGCAGGCCAGCGAAACAACATAGTCAGTGTGGTATTCGATAATTTCTTTCAAATTCACCAATCCCTTTCCATATACGCACACCTTCCGGCCAAAGCATCACAAGCGCCATGCGACGTTTCAAAATTTCCGCCGCCATTTTATTTTTCTACAGAGAGATTGTTGATTGAATCCGTCCCAAAATTTCACAGAATTTTCTTTGTGCAGCCAATAGGATTCAGTGTTTTCGAACTGATTCAAACAATAATTCCTCCGTAAACAAATAAAATGGCGGGGGAAATTTTGAAACGTCGCATAGCGCTTGTGTTAATTTGACCGGAAGGTGACGACATAAGTCGCTCGCACGACGCGCTCTGACGTTCTGCGACACCCGAGCACCGTATGTGCCTATCCTCCCAGGGGTTTTCGGACTGCTGAAAACGCAGCATCCCTTCGTCAACACCCTGCCGACATTTCTTCATGGGATGTCAAAATTTCGTAAATCTCCAATTTCCATAGTCCAAATTCCGAAAATTTTCAATTTCCATATTCCAAATTCCAAAAATCTCCAATTTCCATATTCCACATTCCAAAAATCTCCAATTTCCATATTCCAAATTCTATTCCAATTTTATTGTGTGCAGTTTTTTTAATCGGCAAAATGCTTTATTGGCGGATCTGGCTGTTTCCTCGGAAGTTTTCGTTCCCACCGAAGAGGGGGGGGGGAAGAGAGAGAGAAAATTAATTGTTTTTTAATTGGATTAAAGTTTCTCTTTGCCTTTTATCAAGGCTGTTATCAAAGTGTATGCATTACGTCGCCAACATAACACAGTATATTACAGCAATCGTCGTGTTAAGTATGGTGTCCTCTATAGAAATCAAAGAACCTCAATAACAAAACAGAATGATGCACAACACGATTGTTAAGAGTGATGTAGCTCACGGGTGTAAAGTATGGGCGATATGCAAAAGTGGATCCGGGTTTAAATGCAACAGAGATAGACTTCTGGCGTAGATCTGCTGATATTCCTAGAAATATTTGAGTCAGAAACGAGGCGTTACGGCAGACCGTGGATGCAAAA